GACGAAAAGGTACTAATTGTGAAATTACTGTGTGCTAAAAGTTTGTATCGAGGAAGAATAACCTGGTTTAACCAAGAAAGGATTTGTAGCGCTGATGTTTCTCGGAAAGAATTTCTACCAGGAATTAACAAACAAGCAGATACGTAACAATATCTTCGCATATCACAATATAATATTTTGCATCAGAATCTTCTGAAATATATTGGGTGCAGGTTATCTATGTAGAGCTTTATATTTCGGAGCTAGTGAGCCGGGCTCGAATCCGCGATATCACAAAATACTTTACGCACATTATGCTGAGAGTATGTTATAAGCGTGACAGACAATTCCCTGGCATAGATGGTAGGTCGTAAGGTGCTTCTGACTGGCTGCTTTCCTACTGGTAAATAGTTAAAAATTAGGGACAGTCGCAGAAAGTCTTAGTAGCTTTGCCTTTAATACTTGCTTGTTTGTAGTTATGCACAAAGCTACACAATGGGCTATCTGTGCTCTGCCCAACACGGGTATCGAAACCTGGTTTCTAGCGTTGTAAGTCCGCAGACATACCGCTGTGCCACCGAGGGCATCTTTAATACAAAAATACAAATACTAAAATATATTACTTTAATAATATACTATCATAATTACACACGTCCGATAGATGACGCGAATTGTTAAGGCATTCCAAACTACTATTTTAGAAGTAATTAAAAAGGTGAGTCAGGCTTCAAGTTTCAATTTCTTGTGGATTACCCATACGAAAAACTAATTAAATAAAGCTAAGTATAGGTAAAGCTTGAATCCAAGTATGGCTGGTTTATTCTCTGGTTCTATTATATTATTTTTTAAATTAAGCATGTTTAGAAACTGAAGTTCAACTTAGTAGTACTGTTTAGTGTTTGAATGTTTAACTTTAAACTAATTTAGCTATTAAAAATGAAATGTAAACTTAAAATGAGACAGTGAAACTGAAATGTTATTGGAATCTGGATTGTCCAGGATTCCGAAATAATAAGATTAACACGAACATTATACAGTAGTACTAGTAGTAATAATACTTCTAAGGCTACAACTTACAAAGTGCGGATGCTTTATCGTTGGGTCAGGTTAACACGACAATATTTACAACATATAAAAACATGGTCATTGTATACTGTACTTGTCTTGATATATACTACTTCTACTGTTCTAGGATTCATTCATTATGTTACTAGTACTATTGTTACTGTTAGTGTTAGGAAAACATGTAGGTTCAAGAAATCGAACTAACACAATCTAAGCGCTTTAGAAAGGTGGACCTTTCTAACTTCTAAGTTTCTTCTTAAGAGGCAAGTTGGGAATGCCACTTTTTGGCTATTTCTACTCTGATAATACTACCATGGGCACCTGCAGGAAGGAGCAAGAGGGGGCATTTGCCCCCCCTTACATTTCACAGAAAATTGCATGTATTATGATGTAAACTTAGCATGTTGTTAAACTAAATATTTTCAGTATTTTTTTATTAAAACTGTAAATTTGTGTTTCCATTTAAGCATACATAACACATGTTCATTTCCTCTATTGACTTGCACTGTAAAAGCTGATCCCCTACATGCATTCCACCCCACTTAAAATATTTGTGTAGGTACCCATGAATACCACTAGCACTATCAGTATGAATACTAATGTTGAGGTACTGTCACTGACTGATAAATGCTAACCTAGACATGCCTCACTAATAACATTAATATAAACCTTGAATGGGTAGAAATTATAGAATCTTATTGTTAGTACGCTTTACCGTATTTTTCAGAATATAAGATGCACCGGTGTATAAGACGCACCCTTATTTTGAAGACAAAGTTTTGGTGGAAAAAAGCTACAGTCAAATTTGAAAGATTTTTATTCAACAAAAATTCAGTTTGATACTTTAAAAAGTAGTATATATATATATATTCTAAATACAAAAGAGCTCAAAATATCAAAATAAGAAAATACTGTAAATCAAAAAAAGGTTTACTGTTATTTAGTTTGGTTCAAAGCCTACAAAATCTTCATTGCTTTCGCTGTAATTTATTTTTTTATTAATTAGGGAGCATTATAAATAGTTATGTTTTAAAAGAAAAAAACTACTATTGTTATAAATAATACATTCAGTTGAACTAAACTATGCACGCCTATTTAAATATACTTACATATGGCTTGTGTATATCGTATATATATACATATATATTATTCATACCTTCGGTGTATAGGACACAAGCAGATTTTGACATCAAATTTTGGGGTAAAAAGTGTGTCTTATACACCGAAAAATATGGTAACTGATTATCTATTAACGAAATGACTACAGCTACAGATAAAGATATATTTTGTCATTGATACTTACAAATATAGTACAGTACATAATCTCTACAGAGATTTTAAACTGACAACCATAATTGACTGTATATATAAAAGCTAAAACAAGTAAAATAAACAACATAACACCTAGATTAAGCAAATTACAACTCAAAAGAGGCTTTTGTCTCTATACATTTGGTCTTCTTATCTAGTAGGAAGGGTGTTGTTGGGGGTTAGAAGATTCTTGAGATGGAAGAATTATCTTATTGATATAGATATGGATCTTCTAATTTTTTTTCTTTTAACAGAAGAGTAAGAAGTGATCTTATTGAAATTTACAATATTGTTTGAGGAATCAACAGCATAAATATATTTTCTTTGTGTTGTATTTTGAAGATGAGAGAATACAATTTTAAGATTTGGAAAAGACTGACTAGGTTCCCATTAAACACAGTTTTATTTTTTAACAAGTCAGTTAGCTCATAGAATAAGTTGCCATTGGCAGTAGTAGAGGCACATCCATCCTTAATAAAAGTAAAGATTTAAAACATTTCAGGAAATAATCTATTTATCTTAAACTCGTGTTAGATGCCAGTCTCCACAACCGCTAATAGAACTTATTCCATATACCAATCACCAATTTATAAAAATAAAACTGTATAAAAGGAGCTTAGTCTGACTTTTTCAAATCTTAAACTTGTGTCCTATTATCTTCAGAATATAGCACAAAAAATCAGAGGCCTTTATCTTATTGATCCAACAAATAATCTTGTAATGTTCAAGAAAATCAATTCTTATCCTTCTTTTCTCTAAACAAAGCAAATTAAGAGATCGTAACCTATCTGAAAGATTGTGAGTTATGCTTCAGATTATGCCAACTCATGTAGTAACTCTTAAGCAGTTTAGGGCTGAGTGCCTAGCATTAGCAGTGCACCATTAAAGTATCTACTATTCTTAACTCTGAGCATTTTTTAAGAAATATAAGAATATACCAGATTCTTGTAGATGTTAATCACTTGGTGGCAAGTATAAAGATTTGGAAATTAAAAGTAGTTGGGATGAGGGGAGGGGGATGTGCTTAGATTTTAAAAAAGCTTTTGATTAGATTAGTTAAGAGAGTCAGGCAGGTGGTAGCACTGCCTATGTAGGGATGGCTTGGATTGTTCATTAAAATGGTATTTTAAATATCTTCTCAATAGGTCATCAGACCTATACAATACCACACAGTGTTTACTTTTATAACAATATCTCTGTAATGACTGAGTCACAACTTCTGGGAATGTCTGTAAATATCATAGCAAAGAGTTTAAATTTCTTGTTCTTCTTTCTTTGCTTCTTTTTTTGTTACATGATAATTCAAAAACCAAAACAATGGTGTCAACCAATTTCACTGAGGTGACAGTTTCAAATGGAGTATCTGCTTTTATATGTATTATTAATAACTAATAGTACTTAAAAAAATCATAATTCTAGTATGAATGATATTATCATTACCTTTTGAAGTCAGCTTTCTTACAGAAATTTGTTCTTTTAAAAAGCTTAAGTACAGGGTGAAACAGGAATTACAAGCCAATAAGAGATAAACAATAAATATTATGGTTGGAACCTCATTGTATGTAGAACTTAGTTATAAGTACAATCATCTTATGCCTATTGAAACACTGAATTAAAAATAACAAGTGAACAAGCAAAGAAAATTTTCATAAAAGGAGGTAAATGTAGAGATGGCTAATACAAGTCCTTCAAAAACAATGCAAACAAGATAGTAAGGATGGAATTTGCGTCATCCCTACATAATAGCACAGGAAAAAATTAACATATAGAAAAAGGAATAGTCAATAAATTGTTCAAATTGCTGATGATAGATATTAAAGTTAAGGACAATAATAGTAGGGGTGGGTGGAGATTTTTAATTAATGAAAATAACAAAAAAATTGCATGCCATCGGATTCCACAGTCACAAGTTAGTAGATTTACACTGCAAGCTCAATTATATAGTTAATAATTAATGAAAAACAGTTAAAATTCCTACCTGTAGATCAACCTTTCACACCACACAACCTTCCCATTAATACAATGTTAACAAAATTACAGTGATTGATAGCAAATTATTGCTTCACCTGGTAACCTGATATTGCATGACATCCGTGTCAAGGCAAGATAAAATGTAGTCCCAATAAAGTCCATCAGTTTCAAACCCATACATGTGAATTCGTATTCCATGGATAAATGAAATAAAAATTGACAATAACCAAATGTTAATAATGAAGTATGAGCTTACTTACATATCTAAGAAAATATAGGAGAGATTTTGTAATCACATTGATTGTAAACTTGAAATAATGGGATTGACAGATACTTACCAGTAGTAAACACTACCTATTCTACGTCATTTCATGATATAATTGATAACTTGTTCGTACCACTTTTATCATAGACTATTGTAGTAAATTGTGTCAAATTAAAGTGTTCCTAGATTTTATTACCATTGTATCTAGTGTTTTTTTCTTTCTTAAACTATTGTAGCACATATTCTTTCACTCTAGCCACACACACAATGATATGATATAAGGCAAACTGTTGCCAAGCCAACATGTAGTCTGTTTAAATTTCCTATTTGTTATTGTTTGACATGCTATCATTTCAACTTGGGCAGACATATCTATGTATTGGTTTTTGCATTATGTAATATGCACCACAGAGTTTATTGTATGGCTTTGTTTCTACAAATTGAATGGCAAAAAAGAATTTAGATTGGTTTTAAAGTTTTGTTTGTGTGTTTCAAATAATAAATGCTTTTTGTTCCAATGAAACTACCCAAACCAAAGTAGAGCAAGAAGAGAGCTATTGTTTGATGTATCACTGATCTTTATTGGTCCAGTCAATTTGAACTAACACCCTATTTTTGGTTATAACATTTGCTCGCTGGTTGCTGCCAAATGGCGGATGATGGGTTTAGTGATTATCGCAATTTCCTTAAAGCTGATTTACAACTTGTGGGAGTATGATGGCCTTGAAATATATCATGTAAATTCAGTGTATATTAGTACTGTAGAATTGTTTCATTTGTTGTTTTGTGTACAATGATATTTTGTTTATGTGATATTTATATATTTGCAACTGCAATATTGCATTCACATACTTTCATGGCTGGGAACTATAATTTTCTGGGACTCCCTAATAATAGACCTATCAGCCCATCTAGGCCATCCCATGACTTAATTAAAAATAACAAACAAAAAATCAAAGTTGGTCCTTATCATTCAAATGTTGATCAAGCTTTCCCTTTAAACACCCTTAAGTTTACTGCATCCACAACATCTGAAGTCAATCCATTACAAAGAACAACCACCCTATTAGAAAAATAAAACTCAGCTGAAGATGACTCCTACCCTGCAAAAATTTATATTTGTGTCCCCTAGTTCTACCATTCTCATTGTTAAGAATAGAAAAGATGATGCATTAACACCAACAATTCCCTTCTCACTCTATGCTCTATCAGCTCAGTAATGTCACAGTATGAAAAACTACTAAAGAAACATCTCAATCTCATACTTTTTTTTTTCAAGAGAAAATTTCAGAGATCTTAACCTGTTCATGTATGATAATCTTTGTAGCCCAAGTATAATCCTAGTAGCCTTCCTCTGTATCCTTTCCAACAATTCAATGTTCAGAGACTAAACACAGTACTCCAAATCAGGCCTATCTAGTGACCTATACAATCAGGTTATAACCTCTTTAGACTAACCTTCAATATTTCTCTTAGACATATATTCAGTATTTCTGTAAATACAATCTAAAATCCATTTTGCCCAATCACTGCTTAGATGGCTTTAAAGACTGATCAACCAGAACACCAAGATATTTTCTTTCTTGACACACCTCAATGCATTACCTTGCATACATTGTAATTAAAAGCCTTCCATTGTTCTTTTGTCTAACTAACTAAATGATCTAAATTGTTTTGCAAAGCACCATTCTTCTCACAACCAGCAACACTCAAGACCTTAATATCCTCAGCAAATTTAAATAATTTATTATTTCTTTATCTTTGTCATTGATGTAAATTGGAAAGAGCAAAGTTCCTAACACTGAGCCCTGAAGTATCCTACTTGTGACATTAATCCAGTTTAACCAAACTCCATTTATAAAAACTCCACTTTGTTTCATCCAGCCAGTTTTCTATCCAATGAGCCAACTTATCTCCCATATTTATAGAGATAATTTTTATAACAAGCCTTTTATGTGACAACTTGTCGAATGATTTCTGAAATCATTACCCCTACCCTCATCTACATAAGCAGTAACCTCTTCAAAGAATGTCATAAGATTAGTAAGACAAGATTTTTACTTAATGAAACCATATTTACTATCTAAGAAAATTTTAAACTTTGTTAAATGACTTTGTAGAACATCTATTATAGGATTTTAAAAACCTTTCTCATCATTGATGCAAGACTAATAGACCTGTAAATACCGGGACAAATTTTATCACATCATTTGTATAGAGGTGTAGCATTAGATATTTTGCAATCTTCTGGCATCTGCCCACTTTTCAAGGCCTTAAAAATATAGTAGTAAGTGTACATATCCAATCTTTAACCTTCTTTAAACCCTTGGAAAAGTGATCTGGTTCAGCATCTTTATTCTTTTAACTTCCCAGAATTAATATGATCACCTTGTTCGATCTTATTTCCACCTAACAACTTTTCAGGATGAGAAATAGTGTTTGAACCTTCACTAGTAAAAATTGAAAAATGTAGAATTTAATAACCCAGCCATCTCATAATTGCTAGAAATGAGCCACCTTTTATTATCTCTCAAAGTACCTACTCCCATTCTACATGTATTTAAAGAAATCCTCACTGTTAATTTTGTACATTTTCAGCCAACTCTCTTGTTCTTTTGTAATCCTTTGTCTCCTATCATATCAATCAATTTAAACTTCTCAGTCTATATCAGAGTGAAAGCAAACACGTTGCACAAAATGAGTATCAGGTTTTGTGGGACAGTAGGTGTCTGTGACTTGTTGGTGATAAATTTCCACAATAAAAGAATTACACACAATCCATTTGTTATAATATATTGAAAACAAGTCAAATGTATGTACACAAATTCATTACACTATTGGTTACCACAGTTGTATCCAGAGCTTTAAGTAATTGTTTCTTTTTTGTCAAAGTCCACACAGGTGGGCTCAATCACTTTACAACACCCTTTGACAGGATAAATTATTCTCTTTTATCACTGTTATTACCATACAAGCTGTGAAACTCACTTTAGAAATCATCCATTACGACTAAACTGACAAACTTACAGCATAACTTCACCTTTACTTTCACTGACTTAACTTGCTGTATCTGCATGTATTTATAATGTGTGACAAAAAAATCTAGAAATACCTAGCCCTTAGTAACAACAATATCACACATAACAAAAAAAATTTAAAAGCTTTCAGTAAAATGATGTCAACAATATTACAAAAGCCTAGTAGAACAATTATATTATGTACATAACATAGAACTCATGCAGAATTGTGTTATGAAACTTGTTATAACTATTGCTTTTAAATAATTAACTCTTAACACTCTTTTTATGAAAACTAAGTAATCATTAAATATTAAATCACTAATTAAATGAAATAATAACTTAAACTGAACAGTCTTGTATATCCAACAATGGGTACATAATTACCAAATTTTCTTTGGGCAAGTGGGGGTGCAAATGTTTTAGTTACACAGGGAACCAGACAGCATGAGGCTAGTGCAATAAAATTAATTAATAATCTGCCAAATTACTAATTATTAGTCTTTATTACTCACAAGCTGTACATTTAACCAAAACTTGTGTTTATGATTTATGGAACTGTGTATGTTGACAATACAAGGAATATCAGTCATGGTGGTAAGTACAACTTACAAAGAATCCATATATTGATTTTAATAATGAACATATGGAATGGTCTCAAATTGTAAGAAAGAGGTTTTGGATAATAAAAGCTGAGTTATCAGAAATTCTACCAGTTCTGAGCTGGACATTTTAACTTATTATTCTGAAAGTGACATCAGGTATTATGTTATTTGCATTTAATGTGTAACTGGAAATTTATCAGTACTTATTTAAGTTACATAATTTGCTTAATTTATATGCTTGGATAATTGCAGAACTACAAGACAAAGCATCTTAATTCAATTTAGATTTCTTTGTTTCTTTTCTAGTAGCTGTGGTAAGCCTTATCATTCCTCCTAATGGCTGATGTAGACACAAACATCTTTATTTATACTGAAAATACCTTGATGCCATTTAATGCCATGCAGTCTGTAAGATAGATTCTGATGGTTTCAAATTATTATTATCACAAGAACAGGATTTAATCACACTGTCCATCAGAAAACAAAAATTGTGTTCTATGTAGAATGGATTATGATGTTGAGTGCTATATTGCATATGGAACTCCACTTGAACCCTTAGAAGAAGGTAAGATAATAGCTCTAACAATTGTTTTGGAATATGTTTGTAAACCTTTATTTTTTATTTTGGTATGTTTTTTAGTAACATTATGTAAAGTTTTGTCATTTATTAGCATACTGTAAAGTTACATTGTGAATGTTTTATTACTTCATTTTATTAGTTTGGTAGAAACTCTCATGCCTTTAAATACTTAAGTAGAAAAAGCTTTCAGGCAACATTAAAATGTTAAAATTAAATTCATGGATCTTGTGTAAATATTTAATGATCAACATTGTTTAATACACAATTAAAATCTGTATTTTAAGACCAATCACTGAATGCTAACTCCCATGTAATAACTGTTTTCAATGACAGCATTCACAAAATGAAAGTAAAATCTACTTGATACTAAAAATAGGCCATTAAGTTGTCTAAGCTATGAATATTCCTAATGCTGGTATAGTTAAGGAGTATTTTCCATTTGTATAAGATATAGAATTTAACCAGTGGTTAGTGGCTAAAGATCACGTGGCACAGTATAGTTATTACCACAATAAAGTATAAATTTTAATGAAATAAAACATCCTTCATGTTAATTACACTATATGGCAATTTTCTTAACCGGTAGCTTTTAATGGTTTACAATTGCATTCTCTTTGTGATCAATTTTAGGCTAGCCTTTATTCATAATAAATATAAAAATTTTCGTACATATGTATGACGTAACAACATGATATTGCAAACCTTACATGGTGGGTATGTTGGCAGAAACCAGGGTCACTTAGATTATGTAGGCAATCCTTGTTCACCTCACAGCAGTAGAATTGTTTAAACAATTATAAAAGTGAAGTGAATGCTGTATAAAATAAATGGAAAAATAGGAATTGCATAAGTGAAACTTGAAAGAGTAAGCACAACAAACAGCCCAGCTTTGCACAAGGTATGGTTTAAAAATTCAACATTTTCCAAAGGTTTCCTATGGTATAAAATCTAAAGAATGATGCTCAGTGTAGTTCCTTGAAAGTAATTAACAAATTTGACTGTTATGATCTTGACTGACTAATTTTCTTACCATTTGCTATGAAGCATTTTCACATGTGTCATTGAAAAATGAACATCAATGCCTTAGAAAGTGATGCATGACAGTTACTAAGTTTTCTCTGTTCTTGACTGGTTGAGATTGATTACATATAACTTGCTTTTATTCTTGTTACTCAGCATAATATTCATGAAAGCAGTGCCAAGCATGTGTCATTTTGGGTGAAACAGCAATTTTACCAAAATGTGTATTTTCAGTACATGTAAGTACTGATCAATAAATATTTTGTTTACAGGCATTTTTACATTGCAATCAAAACTATTTATCAAAATGTTTCAAATGTTTTCTTAAGTAAGTTGATAAAATTGCAGAATTATTGCAATTGCTTCATATCATGGCAGCAGAATTAATAGCTGAGAGAATAGGGAAACAATTAAGAAAAAAAGACATAAACCTATGGTAAAAACCTTGATATTTATATAAGAGTTGGGCGATTAACCCTATGCATATGTGTTTGGTCAATTTGACTGACCTTATAACCACCATATAATTGTGAAACTGTATTATAACTATGAATGTACTAAGTATATCTTCATGAAATTTGGCAAGATTCAAGTAAACATTAAATGTTTTTTAATACAGTATTTTTATTAAAGATTTGTCTGTGAACTTACAAAGATATTGCTGAATCAGTCCAGACCCACATACAGGTCAATGCGATGGTGTTCAACCCTTAATTACAGCCATTTTGGCTCAGTCCCAGATATTTCCTTCTATTTTATGTCTGTAAAACATCCATTATTATGGGCACTCATATTGAGGTCAACTTGGCTTGTGGTCACTTTTTTCCCAGTCCCAAGGGGTCTCTTTGAACTCAGTTTTGCATCCACCCAGGCTGGTTCTCACCTGCCACTATACAATTGAGACCTGTCAATCAAAGTGAGGCCACTACTGTACATCGACTGACAGCGGCCATGTCTTGTAGGTGTCACAAACCAGGTGACAATTGATGTTCTCTATTAATGGCACGTTAATCTTACCTGATGCTTCACACCTCATGCTGCACTGGTGATTAGACAATCACACATAAATGATCAAACAAACAGTATGTTTTCACACTCCTTTAAATTTTGTCATTTGTAACACTTCTAGTTCGGTGTCTCTTTGGTCTTCTTGTGAACAAAAGATTTGTTCAAAAGGGAAAATTTGCACATTCATTTCAAGTTTTGTTACCTTTCACTCCATTTTGCAATAGATAGAGCTCTGCTTTCTTAGCCAAATGAATTGTCTCTGTTCTAGTGATGGAAATGGGAGAAAGTTGTTGTTTCATGATTTGAGTATCATTACTGCCACGTGTCACCACATGTGCACATAAACAACAGTGCCATGCCTTGGCCTTTGATACTGTGTGGTGCAAGGAAAAGTTATGAAGCTCATTGTCATCCTAAATTTTGCATTTATCTGTTAATCAAAAATACAGTATAGAATTTTATTTTTTAGACAAGAAATGCAAAAATAGGTTTGTAATAATGTTAATACAACATTCCGTATCAAACAGGAACAAAGAAAGGTGAGTACTAGGGACAAGTTGTAGGGGTATGTATTATGCCTTTGAGGCCTCAGTCTGATCCCAGAGTTGACCCCATACCTGGTAATTGCATAGACCCACAGTTGACCAGAAAAACGGGGCTGTACTGTACTTCTAATCTTACAGTTTTCTTATTTCATTAGCCTAACCACTAGAACTGCCTAAATTAATATCAAATGTATTTTCAGTAAAAATGAATAGCACAATTTTTTCAGTACAACTTTATACTTTACCTCTACCCTAACACTATATGTAGCAACATACAGTGAAATGAAAAGTTAAAGAATATGAAATAAGATCAATAATACTTTTTTCAGAATGACTGCAGACTGTAAAAGACAACTACAATTATTTATCATAACAATCTTAGGTTCTAACATTTTCACACCTGCATTTTTTAATTTTATTGCTGTACTTTGGACATTGTATAGCATTAAAAGCAATAAATTATAGTGGAAAAGCTTAGGGTACACAATGATGAAGTTACAGCACAATACACAAACTGCAAGCTTCCCTTCTGACTAATCTTGAGAATTTTTTTTATTTAGTTTGTTTCATTTAAGTTTTATTATCTAACCTACGAAATTTATCTTTTATGTTTTAGTTTTATTGAAAATATATATATAACAATAAATAAAATATGTATACATAAAAAACAAAGTTGCAACTTACTTCAGAAACCTTTTTTTCTCCCACTATGTTGATTGTCTAAAACATAATTTATGTAGCTTTAAAATATGATTTTAGAACACAGAAATATATCACTAAAAACAAATCCCCAAAACCACTGTAATTTATCTTGATTTCGATCTAAGCTATGAATGGGTTTAAAATATTCCGTTATTGCTTGGAGCAACACTCAACTACTCAACACACATCAAAATTTTCTTGTGAACTACTGTTTTTGTCCACCGAAACTTGAAATTCTAGCACATTATAACATGCTTTTTCGGTCATTTATAAATATCTCCAACAGAGAAGTATGCATAAATGGATAATTAGTTTGAAATGCATAAAGATATGGGAAGTGCTTCTGTTGTAGTTTTGATAAATTTATCGATATCTCAGTAAATCAAGAGGTTAGGAGGTTCTAATTGTATATTCATTATTTTCATTATGTGTAGTTTGTGTTTCTAATTGGTTAGGCACTATAGAAATTGTATTGTTAATGTTATAAAATTTAAGTGGGAAAGATCAAAGAGCAGACATATCACATGACAGAAGAGAGAGAGAGAAGATTGAGAAATTTTAAATAATCTTCTTTTGAAAATAAGAAATTAAAATTTGAATAAATACTACTTCAATGCCAATTTTACTGATGTTTATTGATAATAGGTTGTTGATTAAGTTTTGAATTATCTCTAAAGAGGTTGTGACATGTCTATTACAAGATCAGTAAAAGTGACAGAGCCCATATGCATAGGATTAACTCGATTAATCAATATAATAAGTTACCTATAAATATTGATTAGATTGATTTATGCCACATAAAATAATGGATTAATGAAAATTGTGAAAAATCAATTAATTGAAATGTTTTCAAGTATTGCAAGTATCCAGGTTATAGAAATATTGCCATTATATTTCATTATTATTTTTAATGAATTCAACATTGATCAGCTTAATTGGTGTTTCTGATTATTTCTATTTTCCGTTATTCCAACTATCCAAGTATCATGTGAATAATAAATCATTTGAATTCAGTGAGCCCAATAATTTCTCATTTAGCAAATTCCACTAATTGCCCAGCTCTGTTTATATGTAGAGGTAATTTTTATGAATAATAGTCTACTCTTTGTTGGACTTATCATGTACAGGAGTCATTAATTAACAACACAATATGCATTTTACTTTTAACACTAGTGGATACTTATAATAACAACCACTAAAACTGAATTAGTATTAAAGTAATGTTTTAAACATTGCTGTGATTATTTTGACTGAAGGTATGTTTCTTACAGATGAAGCTCCTACAAAAAAACCTTCACAAGATCAGAGAGTTACAGATGAAGAAGGAAGAGTTCGTTTTCATGGTGCTTTTACTGGAGGGTTTTCAGCAGGGTACTTTAACACTGTGGGTACCAAGGATGGTATGTATTAAGCTTAGACAATACATGGAGATTTGGAAATTGTACATGTACTTTTCCTGCTTTAGTTCTTATAGTGGACAATGCTTTTCTTTTTGTTTGATTGAAAATTCTTTGTTTCTAGATTTGAAAAGCACTTTATCTTTTACAACTAAATCATATTTCAGTCTTTTTCTTGTTTATTCCTTATCACATGTTTTTATATTTTATGTTTATATTCACTTACAGGAAGCCAAGAAAATGAAATCACAAAATATTAGAATTTTAGAAATATGAAATACTGTCTTGTTTTTTATTTTGTTTTATCAGGTGTAATTTTGTGAAAGACATTTCTTTCTTTATCTTCTATTTCAACTTTATAAAATAAGTTTGCACACATGTAACCATTTAAATTTCATAATAAATAAATATGGACATATAATTTCACTCCAACAGGTGCATTATTATCCATATGTTTTCTTTTACTTTCAAGAAATTCCAACCAGGATTATCTTTAATAAAATGAGTGTATATAGATTATAGTAATTAAACATACACTTGTCACATTGGTGACATTACAGCCCACATGGTGGAGCAAAGTGTCAAAGTGTTCAACCAAAGTATCCACAGCTGCATTTCTGTAGGTAGCAACATCATTATGATTTTGGGGCAAGTCTTTTGTGTCTGTGATCTTGCATGCCTGAAGAAACTGGTAGTTGTGAGTGTTCTCAAATCTTTTATTGAGTTCCTGAATCCTTTCAATAATGTGAGAAAAAGACTGTTTACCCTCAAGTCTCATCTGACAGTTAGTTAGCTGGATTCCTCTGTATATTTCATCAGGTGTAACTTCCTGCAGGAACTGCTGCTGACATTGGCCTGGCTGCTGTGAGAGTACAACCATCTCAAGATTGGCTGTTTTTAGGGCATTGAGAACATCAGTTGTATTGGTACTATCTTCTTGAGACACAAGACTCACTGTTGAAATGGTACACAAAGCATCTTATAGAAATTGCATTCTGAATTCTTTCAATAATCTTGCAATTAAGCTGGCTGTTTCTTTTACTTTGTCAGTACCCAGGTGACTTGCTTGTTCAAAATGTTTAAAATACACAGGATAACTGTTGTGAAGAATTTCAAGGGTTCTCATCTTGTGCCACTGAGTGGAGTTGGTTTGAAAACATTCTCTTTTAAAACATAAGCCATTGTTTTAAACTCAAGTAAGGCTTTAGGTGAATTATGGTAATATTTATATATTTTTGTGACATTTCCTGAACTTTTTTAAATTCTTCCAGCTCTTTAATTGCTAAGAGCACATTGACTCCCAGTTTGTACCTTGCAAAGTGTATAGTAAGAATACGTTCGTGACCATTTTTTAGTCTTGTAGCAAAACTGTTTTTTGATCCTAAATTTACCGAAAGTAGAAAGGGAGCCAGTTGTTCTAGGAGGCATTGCCACCCTCCTATTGATGGAGGATTGTTGCATGTTCCTTTGCATGCAACAACATAGCAATATCACATGGAAACACATGAGATTAGGTGGGATTCTGAAGACTAGTGATGAGTGAAAAAGTTCACATTTAGAGGGCAGCACTGAACTGGGAAAAGTTAGAAGTGAGAAGATGTGATTATCTAATGGAAATACATTTTTAGTGTTGGAAAATGTTAACTTTAATCTTGATATAGTGGCATACTGGAACACTGTTTCCATAATTCTAAAATATATTATTTCTAGCATCAGTAGCACCATCAAACATTATGCTAAATATAAATGCATTTTTAGTTTTTCTTCAAAGGGTAATCTCGAGGCATTGGCAAGGTATTTACTAAACCCGAAAAAAAAGTTTTAATTTTAGATAAATATTGAGAGCTTTATGATAATAACGACTAAATAAAAATGTCTTTTGTTTCTTGACTGACATATTATACGATTTGTACTTTAAAGTTGGTACTGTATAGTTTGTACTGTATGATTGGTACTATACCGTTGGTACTGTATGGTTTGTACTATACAATTAGTACTGTATAGTTTGTTATAATATAATGTGATTTTAAATGGTAATAAACCTGGATCTTGTGACAGTTGTGACAGTTTTTATCAGTAATGTACTAAACATGTGCTTCATATCACTAAAAAGGAAACCATTTAACCAGTTTTAAACTAAGCTGACAACAAAATTAAGTACCTGTTTTTATTGGCATGGTTTAATATTAGTATTTAATAGATGACTTACTGACTATAACACTTTTTATTAATCATCAAACTGAATAACAAAATGCATGCAATAACTTCTACAAACTTGGTCAGACTTGTATGATACTATCTGTTGAATGTCGCAACTGTTTTTGGCTTCAGGTTTAAGTAAGCTTGAATTTGTGGTGAAAAGAAGTTAATTTAAGAATAGAATATGCTGCTTGAAAGATGTGATCTATGACAATTTTCTTGGCCTTATTCATTTCTCTGATATAACTATCCCTGGGCCCTTCATAAACTTGGTTAGCTTGAAAGGCAGCCCTGGTTTTGATGTGTTTGGCAGCTGTGAGATAGGAACAAGATTCCCAATGGCTTCCAACATTTTCCATTCTATATGAGGTACAACCAGTGAAAAAAATTGATTTTTTTTTATCAACAGTATCTTCTGCTTGTTGACAAACAGTGCAAAGCATGTCTCCATCAGTGTCTTCAATACCCTCAAACTCTTTTTTTCCATGGTGGCACAATGGGCATCATAATTTTTCCAGATCATACCTTTCTTTCCTTTCAGGCTGTGATGTAGATGATTTGTAGAACATTTTTATGAATTATCTTAATCTCAGAACTGTAAGCCCAACTTTCAGATATGAAAATTAATAGAGAATCTTCATATTAAACTAACTTACAATTATATTTAATGTTTTACAATCAACAGTTTTATGAACTCTTCTGATTTTCTACAGAAATTGAGATCACTTGTAGCATGATGCTCAATGAACATGTTTACCCAGTCAAGATTTCCACTAAAAATATAAATAATTCATTTTATCAAATGTGACAGTTTTTTTAAGCAACTTTCTTATATATTTTATTTTCTACTGGATGATTGCATAGAAATGTTCTTTATTGTAAAAAAACTTTCAGTAACTATGCTTGTTTAAAACTGTTTAACAATTCTAGCTGTTATTTTACTTAGGTTGGGCTCCTTCATCTTTCACCTCATCACGAGCTAAAAAAGCAGAGAGTATTGAACAACATCCTGAAGATTTTATGGATGATGAGGTACATATTTATATTTACCTCTTTCTTTCACATATTTAATTCAAGATCTTTTCAGATTTAACCATGTAAGTCCCTAGTTAGTCACCTGAGTCTTGTATCCATGATTTTTAGTTCTAAAAATTCTTTATTCATTCTCTGAGAAAATATGTAGCTTTATGCAGCTGTTTTATGTCAATATAGTAACAAAATGAATCAGGTTCTATTGCAGCTCAGTAAGACATAAATATCATTATAATTCCAATAATTAATATATAATTTCCACATATTTCTTCCTTATGTAAAGTTTTGTCATTTAAAAAAATACAAAAAATGTTAAAGTTAGTAGTGCACATTTTTGATTTTTTAAGTGTAAGGTAATGAACGTGCCTTTCTCTCTAACTAAATATTTAATAAAAGCCACAAATCTGAAAAATAATCATTAAAACTAAACATTATGCAGCTGATGTTTTATGAGTTACACAACATTGTGATTTGGTAATTATATGCTCTAAGACATACATTTTACAAAACAATTTTTGTTTTCTAATTGTAATTGAAAAATATCATAATGGTAAATTGAACAACTTTTTTCCTTTGGAAGTGATTTTTCAAGACATATTTGTAACTGTTTTGACATAAACACAACTGAAGCTTAATGTGTCATTTGAAGAAAATGTGAAGAAAGTGCCCTATTAACCCTATTACCATGGGTATCCCGTTCTGTGCAAGACACAAGGTTTTAGTGTCTTACATTGAAAATTATATTAAACTACATTTTGTTTATGTTATACCAATTAGTATAGCACAAAATCGTAGCTAATAATCCATATTTTGATATTATATAAGTTTTAAGTTCTTAATTTTATAAGGCGATTTTTAAAAAAATCCTAAATTTCCCATAATGTGACACCCATGACACATTTTCTCTAGGTATGTCCTTTTCTCTATTTTATCCACCACATCTCCAGTAACTACGAAATAAACCTTTTGAATTCGATGAACCTTTAAACTCCTTTCTGTGCATGTCATGAGATTTTACTAGTTAAATTCAAAAATGAATTAAACCACTTTTCTATAAACGTATTTTGATGAAATTACTATCATAAAGTATGCTGTAATTTAAGGTTTTATATTATCTAAGTTTTATTCCTTTATTTTAAAAAAGAAAAATCTGGAACAGCAATTTAAATTGCAGTTTTTACTGTCATGTGATCCACTGTGGTTAAAATTCTCAAGTTTAAGAGGTCTTAGACAAGAAACTATATGTTCCTACTATTGATTGTCGGTATAGACAGTCAAAGTACAATTCCAGCGGTCTCTCATTAGCTGGGGGAAAACTTCCAAGAATTTCTCCCGTTGTGAAACAACATTCTAATATTTCTAAGTTTAAGGTCAGCCACGCCCGCTTGCAAAGTCAAAGCTGTGTTTTCAAGCAACACTTTGAAGTTGAATGGCATGTTTACAACCAATAGCAACAGCAGGTTTCACACTATTCAGTTATAGCCTGAAGAAACCTCTACCTATGTATAGATCTTTAGTATGAAATAGAAAATAAGTCCATTGTTCTCTTGAGGGGTATGTAATGTTTGGCAAGTGTTTCTTCCTTTATGTATGTATTAGTTTGCTAAACAGTTAGATTGCATTTAGGTTTTACATTTATATCTTAATTAATTATGTATTTATTTGTGTCTTAAAATGCATATTTAATATGTTTGTTTTTATACATTTAACTTGTTGTAGTTTGGCTTACCAAAATGTCTAAGCAAGATGGCATCATTCGCGTGTGCAATCGTAAGTGTTTGGAATTTATGCATGAGACTCGCCCAGGCTTGCCCTATAATAAACAACAGAGCACTGCACAGGACATGTTGTGAATCTTGAGATAATGAAAAAAAGACAAAGAATTGGAAAGGAAAATTAAAAAGTAAACTACAAGTGAAAAGATAAAGATGTGAAATTATGCATAAGACAAAAAGATATATTTAAAATATTATTGAAAAATTTAAAAGGTATGTACTTACTTCTATTTCTTAATTTTAAATATTTTATTGTACTGTACATTGATGATGATATCTGGAGTCACTGATATAATAGAGAAAATTGGAAAACAAAATATAAACATTTACCTTAAAAAACATTTGATATTCATTTAGGAGGCTCTAGAGATTATGCAAATGAAATGTGAAAACTGTGAGATAAGAAATTATTTTTATACTCAATAAAAATCACATTGCATGTGAACTATTCAGATTAAATAATGAATGTTTTATTATAAATAGTAGAAAAAATCAAAATTTTTCTAAAAGTACATAATCTTAGGACCATTCAAGACACATTTAAAACTATTTCATCAACGAGTTTCATTTTATAAAGAATTTTCATGAAAGTTACATACCTATTTACAATCTAAGTAGATCGCAGTCAAAGGGTTAAATGTAAATTACTCACTATGAAATCCTCATTGCTTAGACAAACCATAATTTTTATAGCCTTCAATTTTGTTTGGTTACAGAGCTGTGGATGACTACATTTTATGTAACCTATGCTTCTCTGCACATTTCAATAGCAAAGTCGTCCCACCATTATCTCCAGTTTGGGCACAAAGGTCAAGTACTGCAGTTCAAGGCTCCATCTTTTGGACTATCATTGGCTCCATTTGTGTTCTGCTGAATCATACAAACCTTTTCTCATCACCTCCATTCCCTGAGCCTGTTCATACACCATTACATGGATGACTGTCTACTGCTGGCACCATCTCATCAGTTGGCAGAATGTCACTCCCACATACTGCTTTCTGTAGCAACCAAGGCAGGATTTCTTATCAGAGCCAAGGCATCTCTTTCCACTCCAACAGAATATATCATCCATTTGGGTTTCTTTTTCTACACATATCTTAATCGAGCTCAGCCCACTTCCATCCGGCTCCACACTATGGAATAGGCAGTCCAACTTTTATGTCTCCTTCTCCTACTGCAGGATGTGTTTTTTTTTCTCAAATCCCTCATTCTGTTGGGACGAGCACATATAAATTCCCTTCAGTGGTCTCTACAGAACCAATGGATCCTGAATAGTGATCCACTAGTTTAACCAGTGTTCTTATTCAGGATCAACATCTTTGATCTTGAATGATCAGTGTTCCTCTGCCACCATCTTGTTAAGAGATCTATCTTTCCACAGGTGCCTTGCTTCAGGGATGAGATGCATATCTCAATGGTCAGAAATTCCAGGGCCTATGGATGGATGTCTCAAGGCCTGGAATTCTTGAGAGGCAAAGTGATCATGCTTCACTCCAACAGTTCTACAGGGATGTCTTCCATTTCCCGTGAAAGGGACCCTCAGTCCAGGTCTCTCTGTTTTTGAACCTTGGATCTTCTTTATTGGGCCCACTCCCATCATATGCTATTAGCTTGCCATGTTCTGGAGATGATTAATTTGGTGGTGGATTAATTGTGTCAACTCATCCAGATTCTCTTAACAGTATGGATGCTTCATCAAGGGATTTCTGTTGAATTTGCTCTTGGTTCAGGATGCTAATGATCATGCGCTTGCCTCTCCTTGGAACACTCAACTACTGGCACTTTGGTCTCCAGTACCTCACCCTTGGGCATTGGCAATAGATGCATTCAGTCAGGACTGAACTGGATTGCACCTATATGCCTACCCACCAATTCATCTGTTACCCAGAGTCCTAGCAATGATTTGTTCAACCCTTGTTTCATTCTGTTGGTAGCACCAGATTAGCAGGCTCAACCCTGGTTTCTGCTTCTGCTGTACCTTCAGGAGTGTCCACCTCTTCCACTTCCCCTTTGGCTGTCTCAACAGAGTCAGTCATGTTCTGACATCGTACTCCCCATCCATCTTGGAGCTCAAGCTTCATGTGTGGAAGTTACGCAATCCTTCACACAGCATCATGGTTTATCATCTAAGGTTGCCATTTAACTGTCTCAGTTTCTGCATTGTCCCAAGATGGACATTTCTCAAGGGAAATGGGACATATATCCACGGTGGTGTATTGTGATCTCCCCCCCAATACTTTTATCTCATGTTATCTGTATAATTCGGCAGTATTTTCCTCCGAGGGTTTTTGACTACCCCCTGTAGCTATATTAACCAAATATGCCACATTATATAGAGGGGTGAGTATTTTCATTACTAATCTCTTCTTTCCTTTCCAGTGACTTACATTTTATCACAGGATCACACTCTGTGGTGAGTGTTGCCCAGTCAGGTGTGCTTTTATCAAATCAAATCTGCACTAGCAACCACTAAAACAATATACTTTATCTAGGTTGCAACAGACTCTGTAGAAATAAGGCATTCTATAAGACCACCTAGAGGCAGACCAGGTGGTGTTACTGTACTGTGTTAGATCACCACTCATGGACTATCATGAGTAAAGCCTAAGGGGATCTTACCTGTCTCTGCCGATCATTGGATTGAATAAATTGGGGTTGGTTTGCTTTTAAAAATTTAGGGAACTTGTTTCACCTATTGCACTGTTTCCAGAGCATTGTTCTTCAGGACTCCACAATGCACATTACACCCCCCTGTATTCTACTAGTGGAGCTAGGGAGTCCTTACCACACCCAGTTTCTGGTCACTGGTGTGATGGACAGAGGTTATTCCTCCAAAGTGTTTGAGTGACTTTCCTCCACTTTTGGAGAAGAGGGTGAAGTTGGGGGCCCTCCTATCTGGGACACTGGATGTCTTTTTCCCAGCTATCGGTAGGAGGTGAACCAGCCTACGCTGGAGCTTACTCATAATATCAGTTCAAATTTGATGCTCAGCTATCCGGTTGGGTTGAGCATGGATCTTCTTTTTAATCAATATTGATTCAGTACAGGTTCATGGAAGAGGGTCTAATGCCTCCTCGTAATTCCGAACGCAGAGTAATCCCATCCTGGGTCTTTGGTTGAGCACAATTTATTCCACGTTCTCCCCATAATTTCTGGGAGCAAGTGAATTTACCTTACCCACATAATTGAGGACTTAGAATGAGCGTTCATAATTCCAGACTGGAC